ACCTTTTCTTTGTTGTTTCGTCGGCTCTGAGAAGTCCGCTTTTACCGGCAACAGGTGGTTCACAGACTTCAGAGAATACTCTTTTGAGTTCTTGAGTCCAATCTCCGAGTTGTCTAATGTGAATGCTGATATAATCATCTTCAGGTGCTGAAGTAATTGAGAATGGATGCCTAAAGAGAAATACAAATTAGTAAGAAAGATAATTTTGATTAGTAACTAAACGCATTAACTGGTTTTAGTAAATTTTTACCATTCGAATGGCGAAACTGCAGGACATTGAACAAACATGTATTGTCCGCTTTTGTATCGGAATTGAGATGGTTTCGACATTTGCAGCGTTAGAACATTACCCGGATATATAGCAACCTAAAGGAAGAAATATATCAAAATAACTATTAAATAAGTTAGCTTTTTAATATCAAGAAATGAGTTATAAGTAAAGAAAACAGAGTACTCTGTTTTGTTTTTAACTTACCTTTAGAAGTCGAACCGAGTAAGATCCAGAACGGAAATACCTAAGTGTTCTTTCTCCACCATAGAGTAAAATCGGCACTGAAAGATACATCCATGTCTACAAAAAGAAAAACATCTCAAAAATCAAAAATCAAGATTATTCTTTTCTTAACAATTAAGAGCTTAGAATCATAGAGAGACTTACCGTGCGAACGTACCAAGGCTTGGCGAAATAGAGGAAGATACCATGAAGGATAAGCAAGATATAGACAATGATGAACAAATGATGCGAATACCAAAAGGCGTTAAAGCCAGTAAGACGATCAAATGGCTTAGGAAGCTTGACGAGGTTACGCCGAAACCATCTTGTTGCTAATGTGAATGAAATTATCATTAGAATGACCATTAAAATCCCTGTGATTCCTTCAGGCCCCTTAACAAGGTCGAAATACGTTGGTTGTTTCTGTTGAAAGTAATGAAACAGATAGCGATTGTAATCGTATTCGGTGGCTCTAACAATTCTTGGGAAATCACAAGCAATATGGTCTCCAACATGAAGGATCATGGCTATTACAATGGCTCCTGCAATTGTCTGCACATTACACAAAACAGCAGTGAGTTAAAAGAAAATTTCCTATCAATAAGGTTTTTATGAGTAACTGAGCATATGCTTCTTAGTCTATGAAAGTAAAAAAAATACCAAATTTAGATTGTTTCCCCTATACAAACACCTTCAATTTTGATTTTGCATCTTCGGTTGGGTGTGCATTTTTTTTAATCCAAAGCCAAACCGGAATTTATCTAAAAACTGAACCGAAACCAAACTCATAACAAAATCGAACCGAATAAACCC